AACCATGTATCTGAAAAATTGTAAACTACAACCAGCCTCTTTACTGAACAGAATATTTAATCAGTCATTAGAATCAGGGAAGTTGCCCTCTGCATGGCAAAAAGCTGTCATTACACCAGTTTTCAAGAAAGGAGACAAAAAGTTACCATAAAACTACACATCTATAAGTATGACAAGCACAGTGAGTAAAGTCATGAAAAGGATAACTGTTTGACGGCTTTTAGATCATGCGTTTGAAAATGATATTATTCCTTAACAGCAACGTGGGTTCATTCCAGGAAGGTCAAGATATACAAATTTACTGCAGTCGCTTGACGTATGGTCCAAAGAATTGGATCAGAAACAACCAGTTGACGTAATTTATGTAGATCATGCTAAAGCTTTCGATAAAGTACCACATAAACGTGTCATTCACAGACACTCATCATCTTTGGGCATACACTAGTAAAGCTATTGGGGTGGATTCAGGAATATTTGTGGGACAGAACATTCCAGGTGGCAATTGGAAAAACACTTATCGCAACCTCGTGCTGTTACAAGTGGTGTCCCCCAAAGGTTCAGCTCTAGACCCGATACTTGTCATCCTATACACTTGTGACATAGGTGATCTGTCTTCAAGTTGGAACTGCTAAGCGGACGACGTCAAACTTTTCTTAAATCTACTTAAAAACTATCAGATGTTACTAAATGACCTCAACAAATTGGTGACATAGTCAGAGTCTTGGTTGCTGTCTTTAAACTCCAATAAATGTATGGTCCTCCATCTAGGAAAAAATAACCTGTAATTTTACGGATTATTAACGTAATTTTAGAGGCATTTTGAGGCAGAGTGAAATGCTATGTATGTTAGAATTTGTATATTATTTCATATTTCTTTGTTCATTTTTTGCGTTCAAGCTTTTGATATATGTTTTGATGATGTATGATGTATGTTAATACTTTAGAAATTATTTGGAACCTATTTTAAATTACATCCTTTAATTGAGTTAAATGTGAAAGCGAATAAATGATTTTGCTTTGGTTAATAAGATGTGGGAATGAAGAGTAATGCATGTAAAAACCGAGTAATTTTGATGGATATAAAAATATTGTATTTAATTATTATATTTTTCTATCCATTTTCATTTTCTTGCTAGCGGTATCAACAACGCCAATGCAAAATGTGTATTCCATATTAATTAGCTGTCATTGTTTCTTGTTGTAACCCATTGTTGTAATTCCACACTAATAATAGAAGGTAATAATGATGGCTGCCTTTTATTCACATTAATATAAACTAATAATTTTATTTATGGCTAAAATACATATTTTGCATTGTTGGTACATTTATGTAGAACATT